TCAGTAGGGTTTCAGGAGGGAAGTGTTGGGAGGCACATCACAAAGGTATTGCCAAGGACTCATTCTTGAATGTTAGGCAAGTTCTAGAAAAGTGGGACTGGATAGAGATTCCAGCAATTATTCATCAACAGGGGAATGTTTCCTTGTGGAAAACCCAGTACACAGCTCATAAAAAAATAATCCTTCCTGGTACAAAAATACCACGATTAGATCACTTCACTGACTTCAAGGACTATTCATTCAGYGTTGAATCCTCTACAATGCCTGGCCTGTGCCCTTATTTGATGGCTGCTTTTGTATTTTTTTTAAAAGCATCAAACACTCCCAGAACAGTGACATCTTTGCGTATCATTACCCAAGTTAAAGATGGATGGAGAAAATACAAAACAAGACCCACTAAAGAGGGACTGAAGGGAAGGAGAAATACCGAATGCTGACAGCATGACAATGTTTATGTAACAACCCATGCACTATAAAAACAAAAGTATTTTCTGTAGAGAAATAATATATCCACATATATCCACATAAACTCACAGCAAAAATATCTGGAAGTTGATAATAATGGTTTCTTTTGTGGAGGGGACTAGGATGGGAGCCCAAGAAAACTTGTATCTTATCTGCAAACTTTTAATATTATTTATGTAACTATAAATATAATTTTTCAGAGAGAACTGTCCAGATCGGCTTCCTTGGTTTGGCTGTCAGAGACCCTGGTGGGGGTTATCGCCAGCGTTAATTAATCTTCTCTCCCTAAAACACCCTGAATTGGTCGTGTGCCTTACAAACACGTGGTGGGTTAMCCAGTATTAACTATAGGACTCAGATTATGGTTGAATTCTGCTTTTTGCTTTAAAACCAATTTGGAAAAAACTTGGGACTAAATATTTGAGCAAATAATTTATTTGAAAGATGCAGCATGTTATACATAATCAGATTAGGATAAATTTTTAAAAAACTGGTAAAAATGTATTCATTTGAAATTAAACGTGTATAGAGCTATTAAGAAGCATATTGGAAAGCATATCCCACAGCTAGGTAGCGTGGCCGAGCGGTCTAAGGCGCTGGATTAAGGCTCCAGTCTCTTCGGGGGCGTGGGTTCGAATCCCACCGCTGCCATCTCTGTTCTTTTTGTCCCTGTTGGGTTCACTCGCCTCCTTTTTGCACACGCGTCAGCGACCCCTGCTGTCGGTCTGGGCTTCCATCCGGTTGAATGGCTCGTCGGCGACGGCGGGGGGCGGGGCCACGCACGCCGGGGCGGGGCATTGTGGGTAAGAGGAAGCGCGAGGGCGGCCCAGCTCCCCCCACGTGTCCACCGGAGTTTCTCCACCAGCAACATGGCCGCTGCCTGACCCGAGAGCCCGGCCGCCGCCGCCTCTGCAGCCCGCGGATACCTGGGCGGTTGCCGCCGTCCGCGCGCGGCCCCGGCGGAGAGGTGAGTCCCGAATTGGCTTCGCCGGGGCTCGGGCTCAGGCCGCCGCATACAAGGTGGGCCTGTGCTGGGTTCCCGAGTAGGCCGGGGAAGCCGGCGCCGCGCCGAGGGGCTGGGGGCCTCCCGGGACTCTGGTGGGAAGGGCGGGCAGCACGCCGGGTGGACCCCGGCCGCCCGCGGACCCCGACCTCTCGCCCGGCCTCGGGGTCTGGGAGGCGGCGGCCCAGGCTGGCKGCCGTGACTCAGGGTCCGGCCGCTCTGCCCCGCCCGGGCCTCCTGCGGGAGGAGCACCTGTCCGAGGGCAGCCGCGTCCCGGCGTGGCTGCTCGTGGCGGCGGCGGCGGCGTGGTGGGTGTGAGGAAGGGGCCCGACCACCCGCGAGCTGGGCGAAACCGCGGACGCTGTGTCCAGCCGGCGGCCGCTCTGATGGGCAAGGGGAGGGTGCCCGGGCCCCTCGCATCCGAACCCCAYCAGCCCCCGCCGGGCCGGGCCGGGCCCGGAGTGCCTCATTCATTTGTGCAGGCTCCCGCTCCCGTTTGGTGTTTCCCGAGAGCAGCGCGGGGCTGCGGACTCGGGCTGACAGTTCAGTCGGTGGGCTGTCAGTAACTCAGGTGCTTTGGTATGTCCGCAATAGAATCGTTGGGCTTGAGGGCGCCCCGGTTTCCTCATCTGTGAAATGGGGATAATAGTAATCCCTGCCTCGTAGTTTGCGGTGAGGGCTAAAAGGGGTAAGAAGGGTGTCGCTCCTGCTTGCAGGGCTTCATTTGTGGCCAAGACTCCTACCTCCTTATGTTGGAAGAAAACGTGTTGCCACGTAATAACAAACCTTCCCATAGGTTCCATTTACACTATTTAATCGTGGCCGCGGAGTCCAGTGGCGATTGGTACTTTCCTGGTTTTGGCTTTAGGGATGAAAATAGGAAAGGATACCTAGGTGAGGCAATTCACGGTAGGCCACCGATGGTGGGGTGCAGAGGTGGGATTTGAACCTGCACAGTTCCACTCCGGAGTCTAACCTCTTACCCACTATACCATACTGCCTTTTATCATAGATATGAGCAGCACAGTAGTTATGAATGAGGATCTTTGCCATCAGACCCGAGTTCCTGCCTTGATCACACTGCTTTCTGGCACTGTGACCTTGGACAGATTACTTACTCTCTGACCCTCGTTTTCTCTCTTCTAAATTGGGAATGATAACATTTTGATTTACAAGGTTGATGAGAAGATTAAATGTGATTTTTTTTGGGGGGGGAGAGGTACTAAATTATGTGTCTACTTGGTGCTAGGCACTGTTTTAGGTATCARGAGAACAGTAGTGAATTAAAAAATAAAGAAAAAAGTACTCATTCCGGGCTGGGGCTGTAGCTCAGTGGAGAGCACTTGCCTAGCATGGTTAAGACACTAGGTTCCATCCTTACCACCACATGGAAAAATAGATAAACAACATGTCTTTATTTTATTTATCTTAAAAAAAAAAAAAAAGCAACCATCCCCATAACAACTTGATGAAGTCAGTATAATTATTATCTCAATTTTATGGTTGAGGAAACTGAAGTATTGAGAGACCTTTATGGAATTTATATCCTAAGAAGACAGTCAACACCTAAGCAAAAAGTTCCAGGTTAAAGAGCCACTCAGAAAATAAATCACAGGGTTGTCTTACCTGGAAAGGGATTGGGGGAGGCATTTTAAAGGTAGGCTGGTCAGAGCATCTCCAGCTCTGGAGGAGGAGGAGGCTGATTGTAGTGGTGGTTGTAGCTAATAAAATGAGCAAGCTGGGGCTTCACCTGTTGGTGAAGTATCCCCTAGGCCAGTTGCAGGTGGTTAGAGGCAGATAGAAACAAGATAATGTAGGGCCTTACGGGGCCAAGGAAAGGAGTTTGAATTTTACTTTATGTGAAAGTTGAAGGGTTTTGAGCAGGGRAATGATGTGATTTACTTATTTCCAGGATTAGCAGTTGCTGGGAAAACCAGAGGTAAGAGAGGAAGGCCATAGGGAAACTTGTTAGGTTTATCTTTTGAAATTGCAGGTCAAAGCCAGGTGAGGTGACACACAGTTATTATCCCAGGTACTAGGGAGGCTGAGGCAGGAGGATCTCAAGTTTGAGGCAGGCTTGGGCAACTTTGTGAGACCTTGTTTAAAAATAAAAACAAGGGGCTGGAATTGTAGCTCAGTGGTAGAGCACCTGCCTAGCATGTGTGAGGCACTGGGTTCGATCCTCAGCATCACATAAAAATACATAAAGGTATTATGTCCATATATATCTTAAAAAAAAAGTGAAAACAAATAAAAATTTAAAATTTAAAAAATTTAAATTAAATTTTAAAAAGCTCAGTGGAGAGTACCCCCCTCCAAAGTCAGTTTAATTGTAGGTCAAGATTTATTACTGAGATGTAAAATGACCTTAGGTAGATTGTTGCTTGCATTTTATTTTTTAATTATTTTTTAATCAAAAWTTTTTTTCATTGTAGATTGACACAGTACCTTTACTTTTTTGTTTATTTTATTTTATTTTATTTTTTTTTTGTGATTGTAGTGGTGGTTGTAGCTAATAAAATGAGCAAGCTGGGGCTTCACCCAATGCCTCACATGTGCTAGGCAGGCACTTTACCACTGAGCTACAGCCCCAGCCCATCACATTTTTATTTTGAATGAACAAGAGTAGACAACATTATTGCATCACATAGTAGGGACAATTATGTGAAACTTGCTTCAGTTATGTAATTGTGTGTATGTTCTGGGTCATTGGTATGAATCAGATTTCTTACTGTGGGTCTTGGGCTGAAAACTTTGAATGCCGCTGAGTTGAATCATGTTGTCTGGGAGGCTGAAGGGAGGTGACAGCCTTTGCAGGAACCAATCATTCAGAGCGAGGAGTGCCAGCTCTCCAGCTGAGAGGGCACCTCATCCTTCTGGGCGGATCTCAGGACTGGAGGAAGCCCCTAGGGCAAAATAATAGCTGTGAAAGAATGATTGCCATCTTGGAAACCTCCCAAGCTGCACCCTTAGTGCATGTGATCTGTTGCCTTGCCCACATAGAAGTCCCCAATCTTAGTTGTCCACAGAGTCAGCCACAGAGAAGGTGGGTGCAGGACACAGGTATGTCTGTGCCAGTGCGACTGGGGTTGGGGTGGGGTGGGGGCTCCCCTCCATGCCTGCGCCGAAGCAGGTGCCTTAAGCTGTCAGTTTTTGTTTCCCCCCAGCCCTCCATCTTCTGATGATGGCCTGGTTCCCTTCAGTCTGACTTTCCTGCTTCAGATATTTCTTTGCTCAAAGCCCTTTTGTAGCTCCCTGTGACCTGGCTTCCATGTGGTCCATTTTTTCAGATAACAAATAGGAATTGCATGCCTGCTGTGTGCCAGGCACTAGGGATATAGCAAGGGACAGATAGACTAAGTCTCTGCTTGCCTGTGGTAGTGGGACAGATACAGAGTGTGAGCTGTCCCATGGTGATAGAGCTATGGAGAAAGGCAGAGCAGAGTGGGGAATTGTGGGGGTGGGGCGGGCAGGCGGTCTTAAAGGTGAGGTGATAATGGAGAAAAACCCAAGTGAAGGAGGGAGCTGGGAAGGGGTTAGCTGGTAGAGCAGTCACTGAAGCCAGAGGTGGGTTGAGAGAAGAGGAGGCTGGAGGCTGGTGGGAGGTGAGGTCTTAGAGGTGAAGGGGCTGAGGCCTGGTGAGGCCCAGGGAATGAAACAGACTGGCTCTGAGGGAGGTGGGGCACCCTTGACTGCTTTTGTGTGGAGTGACATGACCTGAGATGGCTTAGTAAAGTGTGATTGGCCCCGGGGTCAAGCAGCTTGTACGGGGACAGGGTGGAAACAGGAGCCCAGCCAGGGGCCTGTCTGGAGCTGGTTAGACTGGAGAAGTGGCAGAGGAGTGGCTGATTCTGGCCATCCTGTGAAGATAGAACTCCAGGGTGCACTGTGGGGGATGAGAAGAGAAATGGCAAAGATGAGGCCACTGTCCGCCTGAGCAGTCTCGAGTTTGGAATGTGGAGTTATAATAAGTAAGATGATCAGATGGAGCCTAGAGAAGGAAGGGGCGTAGGTGACATTGAGTCCTGGGTGAAGGTGTTTTGCCCCTTTAAACATAAAATAGTTCAAGTAGAGCTGCTGAGGTCTGGGCAGGAAGGGTGGCCTGGCTCCTCCCCTCCGCCTTGGCCTGCAGCTTCCCTTTCTCCAGGTCCTGGCCGYAGCGCTTCCCTCATCTAGAATTCCTCCTCTTGCCCTTTCCTGTCATGGCTTGTCAGGATCCTTCTGTCCCTCAAGCCCAGCCCCTATGCTCCTGCCCCAGCAGGGAGGCCTTGCCTTCCACAGAAATCCCCTTCTCATAACTGTCACTTGAAGGCCAAAGGCCTGGATTTGAAGTCTGTCATCTAACTGTGACTTGAGGCAAACACATGCAAAATGTCTCTGAGTTCAGTCTCTTGATTGTAAATTAGGGACCATCAGGCCGCCTCCCAGGGTTGTTGCACTGAGTGTGAGTGAACAGCATGTGCAGGGAGTGGGCCAGCCAGCCTCCGTCCTCCGGGCTGGCTGGGTTTGTCGCAAGTAGTCAGGAAGCCCACACGACCAGATCTTTTCTCAGGCGTGTGTTGATTGGGGTCTGTTTGCTTGTACCCATTGTTTGATGCTATTTTTCTTTTTTTGTATACGCAGTTGGAGGGTCAGTGTTTGTTGTGGATTCCTCCCTCTGGGTGCAGGGCCTGTGGAGGAAGGAAGAGGTGCTCCAGAAATGTTGGTTGAATGACTGGCTGACTGGCCTGGTCTCTTGCGCTCCTTTGCAGATCGAGTCCAAGGACTGCACAGCTGGCTCTCCCCTAGTATGGCCAATGAAGAGGATGACCCAGTTGTTCAAGAGGTAACTACTGCTGTTTACCCTCTGCTGGGGCTGCAGCTAGTAGGGCAGAGTTCCTTCCATATGTCCTCAGGCCAATCTAGGACCTGTTGGTGTCTAGGGACCCCTGATCCTTGCTGCAGCCAGACATCAGCATAGCCACTCTGGTAACCCTGATCTGGCACCACCTTACCAGAGGCCTTGCCTGACCACCCGTGGACTTAAGTTCATTTGCTTTTTGCCTGCTTACCACTTCGTCTGCAAAGCCAAGTACAGTAGTACCTGGCACGTAATGGATACCCAGCGACTATTTGTTGAGTGAATGAATGGACAGGGCAGCCCTGCCTTCCTGGGCTTACCAGATTCAGTCACTCAGCAATTGTTCATTAGATCCACTGTGTGCCAGGGGCTGTGACATAATAGTCGCAGTCCCTGGAAGCTTAGAGGCTGTGGGCGAGTCAGACGAGGAAAGAGTCTCAGGATGCAGCCTAGGAGGCAGGCTCCAGAACTGGCACAGGAAGAGAAAGTTGTTTATGAGCACTTACCCTTTGGAATTGCTTCACCCAGGCCGTGGACCTTTGAAAGCAGAAGGCAAAAAGTACCTGCATCTGCCCCTGACCTCCCAGTGTATGTCTGGAACCTGGCTTCCAGTCTGAAGGTCAGGGACAGGAGAAGGCTCCTGGATATGAAGAGTAGTTCTTCCTTGTTTGGGGGCTGCTGCTAAGTTTTTGAACTATTTGAGTGCATTTAAGCTGCAGCTACACTGCAGGAACCAGAGTTAGAGCAGGGTGATTGGTGATATCTTTGAGGACAGGGGCAGCTCACTTGGCACCAAGGGGCCCTGGTATGCTTCTGCACAGGTGGTGACTCTGTTGGATCCTCCAGGGTGAATGAATGGTTGAGGCTCAGGAGGCAAGCCTGAAGGGTGTTAGATGGAAAGAAGAGTGTGTGCAAAGGTCCAAGGGTCGGGGAGAACACAGTTCATGTGAGAGCTGGGAAGCAGAGTGGGAAACTGCTGCCATATGGCGGTTACTGTTAGGAAGAAAGAGAAGCCCTATGGGTCAGGGAGAGCCTTGCACACTACCTTAAAAACGGGGTGACAGATCAATCCAGGAGAGGGAGTGGGGAGGCACAGAGAGGAAATAGGGCATGTCTAAACCCTTCCCCGCCCATCTCTTAGAAAGCTTTGCTCTAGGAAGCATCCTGATCCAGGCAGCCCCAGGAACAGTGGTTAGAGTGAACTTGAGTGTAGGGACCAGGTGAGCTTTTGTCCCCATCCTCTGGGAGCTGTTAGGAGTGAGTCCTGGATATAACCAGTTTGGTTTCCTGTGTTTTTATCATGACCTTAACTTTTTCCTCCTCCCCAAACTGCCTCGCTGAGCCATCCCCTGACTGAAGTTCATGGAGCACATGCCTGGGGTGGGCAGCACCTGTTCTGTGTCCTGTTAAGTCTTCCCCCTTGTTTCCAGATCGACGTGTACTTGGCCAAAAGTCTGGCAGAGAAGCTCTATCTGTTTCAGGTAATTACGGAACTTGAAGGTAAAGGGGGAGAGCAGGTGCTGGTGGAGTGGCTGTGAGTGGGCGAGACCTGAGCACCTCACYTGGCTGAGGCTCCTCAGCATGTGGGGTGAGGAAAGTTGGTTCCTTTCATTACTTTGGGTGGGTTAGGGTTGGTTTCTTTCAAAGATGGGGAAATGACAGCAYGTGGAAGGCACAGCTGAACAGGGATCAAAGCCGGGGCTCAGGGTCAGACCCTCTGGATCATGACCCATTTCAGTCAGGGCTTAGTTTCCAGCCCTTGGGCAAGTTCCTTAATSTCTGTGCCTCAGTTTCCTCACCTACAAAGTGGTGATAGGAATGACACCGCCTCATAGGGTCCTTGAGGATCGGATGAATCCATATTAAAATGCTCAGGGGGGCTGGGGTTGTGGTTCAGCAGCAGAGCGCTTGCCTAGCACGTGCGAGGCCCTGGGTTCGAACCTCAGCACCACATAAAAATAAAAAAAAATTGTGTCCAACTAAAAACTAAATATTAAAAATGAATAAATAAAATGCTCAGGATGCTGCCTGGCTTGGAGCTGGCACTACGGTGACTGCTGCTGCTCTTTGAGGGCTCCCAGGGGCTTCAGGAGCAGCTTCAGGGCATGCCGGCTTCAGTCCTGCCAGGTGTTAGCCCTGCCCCCAGGCCTCCCTGCCAGGCTATGAGCRTCCAGGGGCTAACACCTATTAAGCATTTACTGTATAGCAGCACCATTTAAAGCACTTTTTGTCAAGTTAACYAATGTCATTTTTCAATAACCCTGTCATGGTGGGTATATTGTTATAACTGTGTTGAGGTACATGCACTTCCCCATGTAAGGGCACGGTGCGGCAGTCAGCACCACAATCTATTTTCATACATTTTGGTCTCTCCATAAGAAGCCCCTCAACCATCAGCAGTTCTCAGAAGCCCCCACTCCCATTCCTACCTGCTGTTCTAGGCAACCATTAGCTTTCTTTCCCTATAGATTTCCCTGTTCTGGACATTCCATATAGATGGAATCTTGCATGTGGGGCCTTTTGGGCCTGGTCTCTTTCACCTAGGGTTCTCCCATGTTGTGGCGAGTGTCAGTACTTCATTCTTGTGGCTCAGTGATACTCCATCGTCTGGATGAACTGGTCTGTTTATGCATTCATCAGTTGACGGCCATTTGGCTCGTTCACTTTTGGCTATCCTGAATTATGCTCCTGTGAACATCTGGGTACACATTTTGGTGTGGATGTTTTCATTTCCCTTGGGCAGAATGATGGGGTCATGTGGTAGTACTGCATCGGTCAATGGGTATAGTGGTGCATGCCTGTAATCCCAGTGGCTCCGGAAGGATCAGGAGTTCAAAGCCAGCCTTAGCAAGTTAGGGAGGCCCCTAGCGACTCAGTGAGAACTTGCTTCTAAATAAAATACAAAAAAAAGGGTTGGAGGTCTGGCTCAGTGGTTAAGTGCCCTTAAGTTCAACCCCCAGTACCAAGAAAGAAAGAAAGAAGTGTGTTGGTCATTTTAGTGCTTTCGCCCCCATATTGCTCTTGAGCAGGCTGTGGTGGGCAGGGCTGTCCCAGGATGGCCCTTCTTGAGGGCTTTGTCAAGGCCAGCTGTGCTCCAGGCTGTTCTGCCAAGCTGCCTGCTCCAGCCCAGAAGCAGGAGGAGTCACCGTATAGCTGTTAAGTGAGTTTTTAGGAAATGGCCATTTCCTTAGTTAGAATGCAGCTGGCCTGAACTGGTCCCCAGAGGGTGGAGTTCATGCTACATGCTGCTGCGTCTCCACCAGGCTCACCGAGGAGACTGTCCTGGTGTTAGGCACTGAAGGCTAGAGTTTGTGAGGATGGGTCCAATCTCTGGGGTCCAAGCTCGTCCACCAGTGGCCACTGCAGGGGAGCGAGAAAGGGAAAGTACGACTGCGAGGATGGATGGGGAAAGGTGTCCCCATGTAATCGGTGCACACTTCCAGTGTGAGCCAGTTACATGAAGGTAACTCCACACAGGAGTGCGTGGGGTCCGTCCGTGGTCGTGTATCGCACCCCCCACCCCCAGCAGTGTGTGTGGGAAGTTCATATGCAAAAGGAGAGAGGATGGGAGCGTGGATCTTGAGCCYGGTCCTGGCCTGAGGAGCCCTTGGCCAGCCTTCTTTGCCTCTTTGCTTCCTTGTGGTTTCATCTTGCTTGTCCTTCTCGCCTGGATGGCCTGTAAGCTGGTAGTTAGACCTTGGTCCCTTACTCTCCCCTCCTGTGCTCTGTGGGTTGCTGGAGTCTGCAGGGCACCTGCTTGAGTTCCACAAGCCTAGGCACATCCCTCACAAGTCTCAGGCATCATAAACTTGTCCTTGGGAAGGAGGCTGGGAGGAGCCAGTGGAATGGGCCTGCAGGCAGAGGCCGCGGAACCTCGTGGGAGGGTGCATGGGGCCCTGGGTACTCTGGTCTCTGCTTGGGGTGAGCTTGGGGCTGACTGCATATTCTGACCAGAGCTCCTGAAGCCCAGCTCTGGTTGGGCTGGGCAGGGTGGACTGATGGCTCCCTTCCCCTCCCCAGTACCCTGTGCGTCCAGCCTCGATGACTTATGATGACATTCCACATCTCTCAGCCAAGATCAAGCCCAAGCAGCAAAAGGTGGGACTGTCCTGTGGGGGAAGTGGGACGGGTGGGGGTGTCTGAGGGGAGCTAACAAAACCAAGGAGACAGGGCCTTTGGGGACTGGAAGCCCAGAGAGGGAGCACTTGGAGGCTTGGGAGAACGGCAGCTGCAGGACCTGGAAAGCTGAGGGAGGGAGGGTTTCCAGAAGGGAGTGGACGGTTCAGGAGGAGTGAGGCTGCAGGTGAACTGGAGAAGGAGAGCCTGTGTAAACGCAGGGTCCCAGGTGGGCTGCGGCGGGTGGGGGGCAGTACGTGTGAARCAGGCCCCATCTGAGGAGATCTAGTGCCCAGAAGGGATGAGGCGGTGGGGACAAGGAGAAGCATGCCCTCAGCCAGTTGCAGCTCTAGCCCCCCCCTGGTCACACAGAGATGCTGTCCAGGACCCCCTCATCCTGGAGACGGATGTTTATGAGAAATCTTTCAATTTTTAAAATGTTGGCACTTGATTCTGGTGTTTGGAAGTGGAGGGGGTGTGTGCGGGGACAGAGGGAACCGCATGAACTACCTTGCTGCTCATGAAAAGCCACTTTGACATTTCAGTTGGTATTTGGTTTTGTGGCCCCTGGTGTGGATGGAAACCCAGGTGCCCTTGGGGAGGGACAGTCTCAATTCTGGGCAGGGACTGAGTTGAGGTRTCCCTTGGGAAGTTGTGCCTTGGGGTCCTCACAGTTGTGGGGGTGCTTGGTACCTCCAGGTAGAGCTTGAGATGGCCATCGACACCCTGAATCCCAACTATTGCCGCAGCAAAGGGGAGCAGATTGCTCTGAATGTGGATGGTGCCTGTGCCGACGAGACCAGCACGTACTCCTCGTGAGTCCCCAGGTCCCTAAGCCCTTCAAGCCCCACTGAGATCAAATAGGAGGCTTTAAAAGGCTTCAAAAATAATCCYGGGGCTCGGGTTGTGACTCRGTGGTAAAGCACTCGCCTTGCATGTGTGAGGCCCTGGGTTCGAGCCTCAGCACCACATAAACATAACTAAATAAAATAAAGATACTGTATTCAACTACAACTAAAAAATAATCCCATTGGTTCCCTCCCTGGGCTCCCCACCAGTATCCCTGCTTTTGTGGGGCTGGGCCTGTCTTAGACCCTCCCCTCCTGAGCTAGCTCTTCTCTCCAAGTTCTTCCTGGGCTGCATGGGAAGCTGGCCCAGGGAGGGCCTGCCCACCACTCATCTCTTGATCTGCAAACAAGGCTGCCTGTTTTCTTATCCCCTGGCTCCCCTCCTGAGGTGGTCAGAAGCTGCCTTTGGCCTGGATTCCTAGCTGGTACATTTCAGAAAGTGTCTGGAGTCTGGTGCCCACCAGGTCCTGGCTCTCTGGAGCTTCCTTCCCCTTGACACCGGTTCCCTGTGTCCCAGGAAACTGATGGACAAGCAGACCTTCTGCTCCTCCCAGACCACCAGTAACACATCCCGCTATGCAGCTGCGCTCTACAGGCAAGGTACCTGGGGAGGGAGGGAGGGAGGGAAGGGCTGGGGCAGGGGGACCTTACACAGTCTCATGTCCAGCTCCTGCCTCCCTGAACATTAGGCCCTGCAGGGACCGGGCAACATGGAAAAAACAAACTACAGTGGTCAGGACACTGGAAAGCACCAGCTCTGGAGACTGATAGGACTGGGGCTCCAAAGGCATTTTCCTTCTGGGACACATGTACATGGGCAGCAGAGCATAACTCTGGTGACAGGTGGTGGAATTTGCTTTAAGCACAGTTCCACTCTGAGGCAGCATCCACTTGAGACAAAAGTATGTCTACACAAAGAAAGATGTATACACAGATGTTCACGGGCGCTTTCTTCATGATAGCCCAAAATAGAAACAACCCAAGGCTCCATCAGCTGATGCGTGGATAAACAGAATACACCTAGAGTGGACTGCTCTTTGGCCATATGAAGGAAAGGAGTGCTGCCACATGGAGTTTGTGGCCTCCACCTGACCCCTTTACATGGCATGAGAACTAAAGCTCAGTGGAAGAAGCCACGTCCAGGGGACCACACTGTATAATCCCGTTTATACGAAGTGTCTAGAGCAAGCAAATCCACAGTGATAGAGAGTGAATTCTTGGTTTCCAGCAGCTGAGGGGACAGTGAAGTGGGGATTGACTAGTTCTTTTTGGGGTGATAAAAATGTTCTAAAATTGATTGTGGTTCTAGTTTTAGAACTCCATGAATATATTAACGTACTTTGAATTATAAACTTTAAATGGGTGAATTGTATGGCATGTGAGTCATAGCTCAGTAAAGCAAAAAAAAAAAAATGCTTTATTAATCTATAAAGCCAATGAAACTAATTTGAAAACTGAAGAAACAAAATGAGTAGAATCAGACAGAAGTAGTGTCAGGGAACTCTAGGCTTCTGTTTAGAACCATGTCTCGGGGCCATAGTTGTTTAGGGCCACAATCCTTAACTGGAAGGAAAAGTTGTAGCCTTGGTCAGAGATCACACAGGCCCTGCCATTGGCCCGGGCAGGGCCACCTCTCCAGCCACACTGACACTAAACAGACTCCTCACGAATGGGTGGGATTTTGACAGGAAGAGGTGGGATGTTGAGGTAGAGAAGAAATACAGGTGGTGGGGATAGGTGGCCAGGTGGTTTGGCAAAGACTTGGAGGGGAAAAGGATGAGGTGCTTGGGGTGGCTGGAGCAAGCTGTGTGGGAGAGGAGTGGGGATGGGCGGGGGCAGAGATTGAGGGGTAGGAAGGGCCAGGAGTGGGCCTGAAAGAAGTAGCCATGAGCAGAGGTGTTCAGTCTCATGTCCTGGCCTGGGTGTCACTTGCTGTCCACTAGAATCAGGTGGAGTTGGGAATGGCCCCTGGCTTGGCCATCACAAGACTCCAGGATTGCAGGCTGGAGCAGGAGTGGGAGGCAGTTTGGTAGTGGGCCTTTGCTTTCAGGGGACTTGGTGACTCCCTTGAGCCAAGCTGGGTGTGGCAGCTTCATTCCCTAAAGGCAGGTTTAAACCCTTCTTCCTCTGCCAGGTGAGCTCCACCTGACCCCTTTACATGGCATCCTACAGCTGCGGCCCAGCTTTTCCTACCTGGATAAGGCAGACGCCAAGCACCGCGAGAGGGAGGCAGCCAATGAGGGTAAGCCCCGGGTGCCCAGCCCTGCTGTTTGCCCATGACTCTATGATTTAGATATGGAAAAGTGTATTCAGGGGGTCAGATTATAATATGCTGAGCAGTACCCCACTAGGTGCTAATGGCAGCACCCCACAAATCAGGACAACCAAAAATGTCTCCACATCTTGCTAAGTGTCCCCTGGGGGCAGAAGTGCCTCCAGGTGAAATGTCAATAGATCAGCATCTGCAGGAGAGTTCCCAGGCACCTGGCTGGGGCCCCCTGGTTGGGACCCCTGTGGCTGGGGTCTAGGGTCTAGTTGGGGCAAGGAGCAGCTCTAGTAGAGGCTGCAAGGCAGGGATTGCTTCTCTTGCAGCTGGGGACTCTTCACAGGATGAGGCAGAAGAAGATGTTAAGCAGATCACGGTGAGTTCTGGCCCCAGGCAGAAGGGAGCAGCCTGGCAGGCAAGACAGCAGGGTGGAGTGTCTGAGCCAGGGACTCGCCTGTCTCTGGGGTGTACCAGGTGCAGAGCACCCCACCTCTTGAGCCTCTTCCCTGGGCTGCCTGGAGGGAGTAACATGACCTCTTACACTGTCAAAGGATGGCAGCCCTGTTCATGAAAGAGATGGGGTCCTGGAGCTTGGCAGGAATTACCTGAGCCCAGGACCAGTGACCCCACACTGAGTTCATTATCTTTGTGATTCTGTTCTTCCAGTGGTGCATAGGTGAACTGTTGCCTTCCCAGTACTTATTCCTGACTTTTAAAGATTATTAGAATATTTGCCTTCCACGGGTGGCTTATAAAGTGCCCCCCAGGGGATGGGGATATAGTTCAGTTGGTAGAGTGCTTTCCTTGCATGCACAAGGCCCTGGGAGGGAGGCAGCCAATGAGGGTGAGCCCCAGGTGCCCAGCACCTGGGAAAAAAAACAAAAGAATCTTCTAAAGAGCCCCCCAGTTCAGTGTGTGTGGGTTAAGGCGAGTATTATAAGGAAAGTGCTGCACAGATGGTGGTGCAGCCTGCACATGGCTCTGGCTGGAGCTGCTGAGGACTGGGACACTGAGCCGCCAAGGGGTGGTTCTCAGGTCACTGGGCGCTCCTCTGTCCTCAGTAACTCAGAAAACTCCCTGCCCTTACTGGGACTTGTGGCCCTGATCTGATGAGGCATGCTTCATACCCCAGGGTTATAATCCAGCCACCACCCCCAGCAGGCCACAGAAGCCGAGAAGGCTGCTCCGCAGCTGGGGTTGGTGGATCACAGAGGGACCTGGTTGGAACTGAATTTCACAGGGGCTGGTGACAGGAAATGAAGGGGGAGGTGGGAGTGGAAATCTTGTTGCTGTGGCATTTTCTGGCTTACTGTCGAGGGTTGGGACGGGGCCCAGGGAGGGTTGCAGGTCTGAGGGTGTGACCTTTCCCCATCCCACCTCCAGGTGCGATTCTCCCGGCCGGAGTCCGAGCAGGCCCGCCAGCGCCGAGTCCAGTCCTACGAGTTCCTGCAGAAGAAGCACGCAGAGGAGCCCTGGGTCCACCTGCACTACCATGGCCTGAGGGTGAGTCCTGGTCTGGGGTCCTGGGAGGAGGGTCCTGKACCCAAAAGTGTTGGAGTGGCCTCCATCAGCGCCTGTTGTCTCAGTTTTCACTTATTTCAAGTTTTGTCATGTCTCCTTGGTAACATTCATGCCCCAGAGGAGCAGGAGGTGGAGATGCCAGCCAGCCTGCTGTGTCTGGTTGGGGGGTTTTGGTCCCCTGGGGTCTCCTGGAGCTTGGAGTCTTGCTGGGCTCACATTAGGGCTGGAGTTTGGTCATGTGTTTTTGACGCACCACAGATCCTGATGGCGGGCCAGGTGCTTCACTTGGTGCAGCTCTGGAGGCTGCCATCTGCCGAATGCCCACTGGTTCATAATACCTGCCCAGARGGATTTGTATTGTACTGGGTTTCATCATGTCCTTGAAGCTGTGTGTTGAGTGAGGGAAACAATTGAATAATTTAAAGCTCCAGAGATGCAGGGTTAGGGCTCCCCAGTGTATTTGTGTGGAGGAGCAACATTTCTTTGGAACCTTCTTGGAAAAGATTTGGATTAACAGAGCCTTAGGGTCAGACTTCCTGATAAATCAGACTCTGCTGATTTCCTGTGTGACCTGAGCAAGTTACATAGACTCTCTGAGCCTCCATCTCTCTTGAGTCTCTTGCTTACCTGTAAAATAGTACTGGTAAAAAAGTTGTGGAGTTATTTTGCAGAGGAGATGAGTTACATGTGTATAGCCATTGGAACAGAGCCTAGCATATAACAGGAGCTCAGTGAATGTTAGCTACCATCTCAGTCATTGTTGGTGGTGTTCCTACTTTATAGACCAGCACTGAGGCCAGGTGCTGGAGCTGGCAGGCCAYAAAGCCAGGAGGGAAGGCGATTGAGGCCACAACACAGAGACCTTGGGTGCTGTGCTCAGGAGGCTGCATACGGTCCTGTGGTTAGTCTTGAAGCAGGACAGCAGGGGTTGGCATGGGAGGTGATACAGGGATGAGGCCTGGGGAGTCCAGGCCTGAGCACCGGCTGAGCCCTGCCCTGTCCTCCCTCAATAGGACAGCCGCTCGGAGCACGAGCGCCAGTACCTGCTGTGCCAGGGCTCCAGCGGGGTGGAGAACACGGAGCTCGTCAAGTCACCCAGGTGGGACTGGCTGGAAGCTGACACAGGAGCCAGGGAGGGTCCCTCCAGTGCAGGTCCTCCCTGGGGGCTGCAGCCCTCCTCTATAGGGGAAGGGTGGGAGAGGGGCCCATTGTCCCTGGAGATAGCCRGAGAGGTGGCCTGAGAAGAGGTGATCTCCACACTCTGTGGAGCTAGTGGCCTGTGAGCCGAGGTGCTGGGGGGCTAGGCCTCTGCTCTGCCCTCTTCCTGGGGCTGCGGCCAGGGGGGCTTCAGTCTAGCTGCAGCCTGTGCTCAGAGGCAGGGTTGTGGCAGGGACAAAGCCCACAGAGCCTCTGATACCTCCCCTCTTCCCACAGCGAATACCTCATGATGCTGATGCCACCCAGCCAGGAGGAGGAGAAGTGAGTAGGGGCGAGTTGCCYTCCCTCCCCTCCCCCACCTGCCTCCTTTAACCCCTCACCTCCCTTTTCAACAGAGACAAGCCTGTGGCCCCCAGCAATGTCCTGTCCATGGCCCAGCTACGCACACTGCCCCTGGCCGACCAAATCAAGATCTTGATGAAGAACGGTGGGTGCCACCCTGTCTCCCAGGCCTGCTGTTGGACAGACTGAATACCCAGGGGCAGGCCAAAGGCCCCGCCTCCCAGAGCCTTCCCAGCTTTGCAGCCCTGTCCCTGGCTAGACAAGTAGCATCCACAGTGGTGCAGCAGCTCCCTCACATGGGCTCCAGGCCATCCTCTCCGCTCCCCTGCTAGGCAGCCTGGGCAGGTCACTGACCTTCTGAGCCGTAGATCATCTATAGAGACTAGWGGGGGTTCTGGGGCTGGTGAGCCTCTAAAGGGCTTAGCACAGAGGCTTGCGTGGCCATGGACTTCAAAAGCCAGGCATTTGCATAGTGCCTGGCTTCCGCCTGTACTTCCTTGGCGCCCTCACCAGGCTGCACAGCAGGCACTGGCCACCAGTACTCACCCAGGCCCTTCTCGGCCTGAGTGGAGGGGGGAGCTCCCTGCCAGACTCCCATTCTTCTGCAGAGGACTCTGACCTTCCCTGGCCTTGCCCCATGCTCACACGGGGGTCAGCAGAACACAGGGATTAAGGCACAGATCCTACCTGAGTTCAAGTCCTGGCTCTGCCACTTCCAGTCTAGTGATCCTGGTTGAGTCTTGAATCCTTTCTGGGCTGAGTAGTGACAGGTGCTCCCAGGTCTTCCTCAGTGGGCACTTCCTCAGAGAGAGTCCTTGCAAGGGTGCAGAGATGCATGGTCCCCAGCACATGGCAAGCGTCCAGTGAATGCCAGCCATTGCTGTTGTCGATACATTGTTATTTCTCATGTTCAGGGGGTGTTATGTGAGCTTGATGCTATGCAGATGCTTGGGGGAGAGGGGTAGGGCCAGGCCCCTCTCCCCTTGTCTAATGAGACGCCTGCATTCACCTCAGTGAAGGTCATGCCTTTTGCCAACTTGATGAGTCTCCTTGGCCCCTCTGTGGATTCTGTGGCTGTTCTGCGTGGCATCCAGAAGGTGGCGATGTTAGTCCAAGGAAACTGGGTGGTGAAGAGGTAAGGCACCTGCAGTCTCTCGCTGGGAGGGAGCATTCCATCCCTTTAAACTGAATGTAACTGCTCATATTTGGGGTTTAAAGGTACAGGGGTGCTTTTTGTTTATCCTACCTGCATTACATTTTATATACATTCCTAATTTCTACTGGATTCTTTTTTACATTTCCATTTATTCCTGTTAATGTGGAAGTTATTCTCCTAACACTTTTATTTGCTGCCTTACAGTTTGCAGCTTGCTTTCGTGCATTAGTTGTTGCTTTTCACCCTTTTCTAAGAATTTAGAATATTTTATATTCATTTTCCTGACTCATGCTGCAGTATTTATGTATTTTAATTCTCTGTATATTTTAAGCCCCAGAAGACTCCACCTTATCCAGTTTGTGTTTTATTTTTCTGGTACTGGAGATTGAACGCAGGGGTGCTGTATCACTGGAGCTCCTTCTCCAGCCCCTTTTACCTTTTATTTTGAGACAGTGTCTTACTAAGTTGCTGAGACTGGCCTCAAACTTGCAATTAATTATTTTGTCTCAGCCTCCCTAGTTGCTGGGATCACAGGTGCACATCACTGTGCCCGACTTTAGAGCTATTCACATGTTTGTTGAGTTTGTTCATCCTTGCTATATACATCTGTGTTGCTCTCTGGTGTGAGTTCCTCTGCCTGAAGAATGCCCAAGCATTTCCTTTAATGCAGGTCTGCAAATAAGTGGTTTCCATCTTATCTGGAAATGTCCGTTTCACTTATTTTCTTGAAGGATATTTTTAATGCTGCGTAGGATTCCAGTTTGGTCATTATTTTCCTATTTCTTTAAACAGTTACATGGCACTCTGACTTCAGTTTTTATTGACAGATTCTCTGTCAGTGTAATTCTTGTTTCCTTGTTTCCTGCTGGCCACTTTTAAGGATTTCTCTTCATTTTGACACTCTGCAGTTTAATTAAGCTGCATCAAAGTGTGGATTTCTTTTACATAGCCTGTTGGATTCATAAGTCTTGAATTTGTGGCTCAGTAGCCTGTGATAGTTTCCCTTCTCCTGTGATTCCTTCACCAGACTAGCTGCCTCCTCCACCAGACTATTAGCTTCACAAGAGTAAGGCCTTATTATATCCCTAGGGCCTGATATGATGCCTGGCACACAGCAGACCCTGGCAAATGCAGGAGGCTGCGTCATCTGCACACTTGAATGATAGTAACTTAAAACTGTGTAATACAAGATGTATGTCCCCCCCCCCCACATGTTGGGAGTTGAACCCAGGGGTGCTCTACCCCTGAGATAACATCCCCAGTTCTTTTATCTTTATTTTGAGCAAGGTCTCACTAAGTTGACTAGCCTGGCCTGGAATTTGTGGTCCTCCTGCCTCAGCCTCCTCAGAGCTGGGATTACATGTATGTGTCATTGTGCCTGGCATGAGACTCACTTTTTAAGTAGTGTAGAGTTAAGGTGAATAATCTGAAAAAATATAAATAGTTCCAGGTCTTTTCAAAAAGTACTTAATTGCAAAAAGTGCTTTGGTTGGTTGGCTAAGCAAATTGCAAAGTATATTCATGTAACAGCCACATGGTGGTATCTTTTTGCTGGTAAACAGATGCCTGGTTATTTCCTGAGTTACCCCAATTTTTCTTTATAGAAGAACTTTGTGATGACACATCACCTATAAAAGAGGACCAAGTGTTTGCATTTATGCCATGGGTGAAGGAAAGCCAGGAAGGGTCATTACCTGAGGACCCTGACCCAGAGAGGGAGGCAAAAGGACTTGCAAAGCAGCCACAGAACTGGGTCAGAACTCAAGCTTCACAACTCAGCCTGGGCTCTGTCTAGCACACTGCCCATGCTCCTGGAGGTGCTGTCCCTTGGAGTTAAGCATGTCACTGGGCTTAAAGACAGGGACTCTTGGGTTTCTGATGTTCTGCCTGCCAAGAGTGCCTCTGTGAGCCTCACTTGACGTCCCCAGGCAGCTGCCTACAGGCCTGTGGGCCACAGTCCTTCTAAACCCTGTCCTTATGCCCCTGTTGTCCCTGTGAGGCGGTAAAAACTCACCTTCCTTAAGTAAACAGCTTTACCTGGGTGCTCCATACATTGCTGTGCCCCCTGAGCAGATACTGTCAAGAGGCACTGGAGGCTGAGACCTGAGGAGTGTGCCCAACTCTTTGGTCCAGTACATGCTTTGTAGAGACCTTGTGGGTGTCCCCCGTCAGCACCTTAGGCCAGGTCCCCAGGGCTGAGCAATAGTTGTTAGGCAGGATTGGCAGGGTGAGGGGAGGCCTCCAGCAGAGGCCCCACAGGCCAGGGCTGGCCAGGCTGGTGGTTTGTGCTGGGCTACAGGCTGTGCCTGGAGACAGGATCAGGGTCATGCTGTCAGGATGCTGGAGCCCAGGTGCCCTGGATCTTTACCCTGAGTTCTCTGGAGTGCTTGTCCTGGTCCTGTTTTCTCCTGAGGCTTACATTCCTCTGACCTTGTTTACAAACGTGCACTTGGGCAGCGGGTAGAGGCCTCTTAGCTGCTTCACCACCACTTTTTCCTGGTGCCCCACACACTTCACATGTGGAACTGGGGTCCTGCAGAGAGTACTGGGCTCCTCGAGGCCCCAGGCTTGCCTGACTCTCACCCCCTGCTTGGGCTGGGCCAGTCATGAGTGGTGAGTTGAGGGCAGGTGAGAAGACGACCTCTCGGTGGCCTGGGCTAGGCTGCTGCTTCCCACACACAGGCTCGTAGAGCCAGGCCTCTGAGGATCTCTGCTGGGCCAGACGGTGAGTCTAGAAAAGTGTGGGAACTGACGTACCACCCCTCCTTGCTTTGGCAGTGACATCCTGTATCCCAAGGACTCATCAAGCCCCCACAGTGGCGTGCCAGCCGAGGTGCTCTGTAGAGGCCGAGACTTTGTTGTAAGTACCTGGGGCTCTTGGCCTCCCTGGAGGGGTGTGGGTAGAGGACAGGGGCAGAGGACCTTGCCCCMAGCCGCGGGTAGCCCCACAGGCAGGTGTGTGAGGAGGCCATCCCCGTGGCACTCCAGACTCTGTTTTTTCCTCCTCCCTCTGGGAATCCTAAGAGTCTTGTGCTTGTAGGAATCTGAGTCCCTCAGGTGAGGGGTTGCAGGTGGCTCCGTTCTGGCCCAGGAGCAGCTTCTGAGTGGTGTTTTAAAAACTCTTGCCTCCATTGTTGACATGAACAGACCAAACTCTTGGTGCAAACTAGATTTCTGAGCTGTCGTGAGTAATGGACAGTTGGCACCCTGGGCCCTCAGCCCTCTCGGTGCTGACTCTGGATAGGATTGTCCCAGCTTCTCCAAGGTCCTGGTGCCTTTGCTTTGATGGTGTGTGTCCTGAGTTTGTGACTCTAGAGCTACCTTGTCAGCCTGCCCCATCCATATCCAGAGCTTAAATCCTTCTTAAGACCTTGAACTCTGCACTGCCCTCCTAGACCTTGGCATGAGTTTGGTAAACTCTGTCCCCTCGGAGCTGCCCGTGGTGATCTTGCACATGTTCACACGTAGATCCTGTCACACAGGGAACCTTTAGTGTCTGCACTTTTTTTCCTGAGTGGAGGTCCCCAGCTCTTTGAGTARCGTGTTTTTACCTGTGGGAGTCATTGTGGCTCATACTGGGCTCGCTCACCCATGCCCAGGTGCCCTTTGCCCATACCTGCCCTGTCTACTCCCACAGGCATGCAGATGCTGCCAGGTGGAGGGTTTGGGAGAGGATCCAGGTTGGCTCTGAGTTATCGTAGGTGATACTTGTTCTTTCCCTGTGTCTTGGATCTCCACCCTCATCTCTCCTAGGCACCCCATCATGAGATTCAGGGAGCATGAGAGGTGCTGAGACAGAAGTGGTTACAGGGTGCTATGAGTGTCTGGGCCATAGCTGCTCACCAGAGCCTGGTTACCTCCCCAAGTCCTCATAAGACTTTGGAGGTCCTAGGACGCAACAGTGGGCCAGATGGGCAAAGCCCCTGCCCAGGGAGCATTTTGGTTTTGGTGGGGAGGGGTGGTCCTGCCCTGGAGGACGGGACCCTGGGGTTCCTTCATAAAACAGAACAGGCTCAGAGGCTACATGACTGCCCAAGGCACATGGCTAGAAGAGTTGGGCCCAGGAGCCAAACAGCCTGGCTGACACCAGGCTCTGAGCCACACTGTACCCCTGGCCAGGCCTTCAGGACCTCCACCAGAGGTTAGGGGACAGTCTTAGGAGCAGCTTGCCTCTGAGGAGAAGCCCTGGGACATGCTGCTTTCTCTCCCACAGATGTGGAAGTTCACACAGAGCCGTTGGGTGGTAAGGAAAGAGGTGGCAGCAGTGACCAAAGTAAGTGGCATTCCTGGTAACCTGAGCCCCAGAGCCTGTTGTGGACTCGGGGTTTGCCCTGCCTCACCCTYCTGCTCCCCCTCAGCTCTGTGCCGAGGATGTGAAGGACTTTCTGGAACACATGGCTGTAGTGAGGATCAACAAAGGCTGGGAGTTCATTCTGCCCTGCGATGGGGAGTTCATCAAGAAGCACCCGGATGTGGTTCAGCGGCAGCACATGCTGTGGACAGGCATCCAGGCTAAGTAAGCAACGGGCCGCAGGAGGCCCTGTGCTCCAGGAGCACAGCCTGGCTGGGTCTGAGCAGTGAAGGCCACCTTCTCCTCTGAGCAGCTAGATGCTGCTGGCTAACCCAGAATCCTCCAGCACAGGACTGGTGYAGCCACAGCCCCTGCTTGTGGGTTGATGTGTGCTGAAGGGTTGGGGAGGAGAGGAAGTCACTCTGACAGGCATAGGGAGGAGAGGGCCAGGTGTCATTCCCCATCCTGGCCCTGGGGCTCCAATTGGATGTGGGGTTTGTGGGTGGCTGGGGGGTATGCAGGGGACAGGGCCCTGCACATGTGCTGTCACCAGAATGTTGAAAGCTTGTTTCTATTGTGAGGCAGATGGAATGGGATGTGGTTTAGAGTTAAAAGGGTTTATTCTTTTTTTCAGATTAGAAAAAGTCTATAATCTTGTAAAGGAAACCATGCCAAAGAAGCCAGATGGACAATCAGGTGTGTGGGGCTGGGCATGCACTGTGGTCCCACAGGGGCTACCAAGAGCATCAGAGGTCAGGCCTGGAGAAGGGTTGTTAGGTCTCAGGGAAGGGTTGTCACCCTTCCTGTGCCCTCTCCCTTCCCGTCAGCCTTGGACTGTGGCCTGTGTAGTCTGGGCTGTGCTGCGTCTGGGTCCTGGAGGCCTACTTAACCCCTTTGCGTCATCAGTGGGTGGGATGGGAGGAGCTGCCGGCAGGAACTCACAAGTGACCTGTTCTTGTGTGTCTCTGAATGTGGGAATTTAATTCCCCCCCTCTATTCCTTCTCTCTGTGGGGCAGCTGAGTTTCCTATAGCAAGRTAGGGGGAAGACAGCAAGTGGCCGCCTGCTGCTGTCCCTACCAGGCCCTGTGCTTTCCTGACCAAGCTGCCTCTCCCCGTAGGACCTGCAGGGCTGGTCTCTGGGGACCAGCGGGTCCAAGTTGCCAAAACCAAGGCGCAGCAGAACCACGCCTTCCTGGAGCGGGAGCTGCAGCGGCGGAAGGAGCAGATGCGGGCATCCACGGTTCTGCCTGGTGTACAGATTAAGGAGGAGCCCCTGAGCGAGGAAGGAGAGGAGGAGGACGAGCAGGAAGCAGAAGACGAGGAGGAACCCATGGACACTTCACCCAGTGGCGGCCTCAACAGTAGGCTGGCCAACGGATTGCCTGCTGGGCGGGCAGCAGGCGGGGACAGCTTTAATGGGCACCCACTCCCAGGCTGTGCTGGTACCCCTGTGGCCCAGGAACTGAGGGCCTTTGTGGAGGCCACTTTTCAGAGACAGTTTGTGCTCACGCTGAGTGAACTCAAGCGCCTCTTCAACCTGCACCTGGCCAGCCTGCCCCCGGGCCACACACTCTTCAGTGGCATCTCAGACCGCATGCTGCAGGACACGGTGCTGGCCGCTGGCTGCAAGCAGATACTGGTGCCTGTAAGTAGAGACTATGCTACCAGGGCAGGAGAACAAAACAAGGCCACCACAGCCCCATGGGAGGGCCCTGGGCAGGCAGCACAGAGCTGTGGGGAGAAGTCTGTTCACGGGGGAGGGGACTGCACCCTGCCTGCCCTGGGGAACTCAGCAGCTTAGAGTCTGTGTGGGGTGGGGGGCATCCTTGGTGTGAGTGTTGGCTCCTAGGTGATGGCAGTGTGTGACTCAGGCAAATTGACTTGAGGCTGTGCCCTCATTTAAAGGGCAGTGCAGTTAGTTTTTTTTAAGTTTTAGTCCTTTGGTAAGGACTGYGTAAGATTACTGAAGGCCCTAACCGCTGTCTGGCCTACAGCAGGGCCCCAGCAAATTCAGGTTCTTCTTCGTCTGACTCCAGGAAGTGGGAGAGCTGACTTCTAACCTCAGTATTGTGGGTCTGTCCTTACGGCTACCACTGAGTTGAATCAGGTGGCCTCCCTGCCCAGGAGAGGCTCACTGACCAGCACAGCTCTTGGGCTTTAGGCATTTCTTACCAGGATCATGGGTAAGGAAGCAAATCACCTGCACCCTGGGCCTTTCCGTAGGTGGTACGGGCCATCCAGTGGGGAAACAGGAGCACAGTGCTGGAGCCTGCTATCCTTTGCTATGACCCGAGGGATGGGTCTCTTAGTTATTTCCCAGCTCCAACAGCAAATAGGGTGAGGTAGGACTGTAGCTCTCTACAAAAAGGGAGTGTTGATGGGGCCAGGGCCAGGGTGAGAAGTACCTGCAGCCTTGTCTGATAGATGAAGCCCAGGGACATGCCTGTGTACATGAGGAATAGAAAGAGGACAAGAAGAGGCCCTGTGGATCCCAGGCTGGCAGGACTGTCTCAGGGGACACAGCCCTGCTGGAGGGGGCATTTCCTTGGTGAGGTCTTCTTTAGAAGGCGCCGGGGTTGGGGCCTCTTCCTACCCAGCAAGGGGTCTGCGCCTCTGTAGGCCTTCCTCTGTGCGTCAGGCAAGGGATGAGGGCAGGGTGTCTGCCTGAGGATAGTGAGGTGGCCCTGGGCCACAGGTGTGGACAGAGATGAGGATGTGTCTGCTTCCAGGGCCTGCTCTGGCCATGTGCTCCTTCCTCTCGGCAGGGCTGGCAAATGGAGACCTATGTGGAGCTCTCYCTCCCACTGAGATCCTGACATGAGGACCTTGTCTTAGGCCTGTCCAGGACGGAAGAGGCCTCAGATCCATCCAGCCTTTTCTTTTCTACACGAGGGCACTGAGGCCTAGGGAGAAAAGTAGACTCAAAGACTCACCTCTTGGTTCTACTGTTTATTAGCTGTGTGGCCACTGAGTAAATCCCTGAGCCTTCTCTCATGGAGAAGGGACATAGGAATGCCTTGGTACTGCTCTTTTCTCTTTGTCCCACACAACCAGGCACCACAGGCCTGGGCTGCTCTTTTTCTAGTTCTCCTGTGGATCGTGCTGTCAAGTGGCATGGCTGGCTTGGCAGTCAGGCAAGGCCTCTAAGCCACACTCATACATGCCTTGTGGGAAACAGTTGAAAGGCAAACTTGGGGAGCCCCTAATAAGTCATGGGAAAAGGCACTTCTCAGGGCACATCTGAGGGTTGACACTAGAGCTTTAAAGCAGAGTTGAGCTAATGGCAAGCTGGGGGGAGATTAGAAGAACCTGGCTTCCCTGTCCCAGGCACCCCTACTGGAGTCCCACTGGTGCCCTACACCCTCCTCTTACTGAAGCTCCTTCAGGCCCTGTAGCCAGTGCGAGGCAGGGGCTGGAACTGGAGCACACCTCTCTAGAACTGGGTTGGTACACCCAGTAGGGGAGAAAAGAGGTGGGCAGGGCTCACAGTCCCCATGGAAAATGAATGACCAACTCATGCTTGGGCCTGGGCCAGTTTCCCCCACAGACTGCTGCTTCCCCGGATGAGCAGAAGGTGTTTGCCCTCTGGGAGTCTGGAGACATGAGTGATCAGGTAAGGTGACCTTTGCTACCATGCCAGGGGTTTAGGCCTCAACCTGTGGATCCCAAATGCTGGCCTGGGGGCTGACTGCCTCAGAATCAACTTTGGAAAAAATACATAGATTCCCAGGACACACTTCAGAGATTCAATTCTGTTCAGTAGTGGGGTAGTGGCCTAGCTATTCTACAGAGCTTCCTAGGGACTGTGATACCCAGCCYAGGCTTGCAAATCACGGATGGAGCACACTCCTTAGTGGCCTCTGGCAGCCACACAATTTCCAGTGGTATTCTGTACAGAATCATGGATGCTGAGGTCCAGAAGTTTTCTTTAATTCATGCCTAAATTTTAAAGATTTAGGCAGTGAGCAAAGGCCCACCAAGTTCTCTGTCTCTGACAAGAAGGGTGAGGGTAGATGCCAGGTGGAGCCCTGTGGTCTCCCAGCCTGTGAGGTATAGAGCTTGCAGCAGCCTCAGTGAGTGAGCCTGTGCTTTCAGCCAAAATTGTTGCCCTCTGGCTTTTCCTACTTCTACTGTGATGATTCAGAGTAGTAAGTGCACACTTTTATACATGACAGAATGCATTTCAATTCATAGTACACATGAGCTGTTTTTCATTTTTCTGGTTGTACACAAAGTAGAGTCACACTGTTCGTGTCTTCATACATGTACCTAGGGGTAAGTGCACATTTAAAAACCAGAAGATTAAAAGCTCATGGACTCCTGTCCTGCCTGATGACACTGACAGTGACCCCCATGCTAATATACTATAAGCATATAGTATATATGTGAGTCAGCAGTGTTAAATATAGAGAGGCACGGATGGAATTAAAACTTACTGTTCATAGTAGGACCAAGATTAGTAACGTGCTGTGACTGCACATCTTAACACATGCATTCTAGTGGCCACACCTTTGAGTGTAATTCCCTGAAAGCTTCCCCAGGTGACTGGCTCTTCCCCATGTCTTGCTGGAATCTTGGCTTCCACCTCACACATTAAGGGGGCAGGGGAGTGCACACATTCTTTTGCCCTCAAGTCAGCAGCTAGAATTTTAGTAGAATAGCTAGGCCRCTACCCCACTACTGAACAAATAATTTGTCCCTGAAATTGAATTTTGACAATTCTGAAATAGAAAAATACCTCAACCTTTTTTAACCTATATCCTACCCTTTTTTGCAAACGTGTTTTATATCATTATTTTTAATGATATAATGATGGAACCCAGTGCCTCGTGCATGCTAGGCATTCTTTACATTAGTGCAACTTTCTGTATACTCTGAATTTATCATATAATGAATACTAGAACAGTTCTTAGGAAATTCTGAATGTGGTAGACTCAATCTTTCAACTTTCTGCTTTTGAGGGGGTTGGTGCGGAATGCATTTTCCAGCATCCTGTTTCATTAATTTTGATGCCGGCTGCTCATCCATAGTCCCTTTACCACCACTTTTGTTCCTGTGACTTGACTGGGGTCTGGAGAGATGACCAATGTTTTTAACTGGAAGTGCTGAACAAGGACTATTACCTGAACAAGGACTGTTATCGGATGACCATGTGTGATTATCTTGAGTATCTTGTTKGGGGATGATTTACTTGGGTGCTATTTTCATGACACATTTTTTGCTATTAAAGCATCGACAGGTTTTGCTTGAAATTTTTTCCAAAAACTACCGGGTACGCCGGAACATGATCCAATCTCGGTTGACTCAGGAGTGTGGAGAAGATCTAAGCAAACAGGAGGTGGATAAAGTGCTAAAGGTATGTCCATTCTGTATATACCCCAAGGCTTTGGGGCCTCACCCCCAGCTGAAGAACACAGGTGCCTTTCTTCTTGCAAAGTCAGGCTCTCTGCTTGTGGGCAGTGTATTGGGAATAGGCAAGAGGGCTATTAAATGTCAATGGATCTTTTGTTTATGTGCAGTGCTGAGGATTGAACTTGGGGCCTCACACATGCCAGGCAGGCACTCTACCACAGAGCCACAACTCTAGCCCCCTATACTACTGATACCTATTGTCTTAAATATTCAAGGCCATATGAGTTGTGATTTGTTAACTGTATACAGTTTATTCATTTCATCTTAAAATATTCCTGAGGAAAGCGTGGCCCAAGACCCTAAAGAGAGATTGGGCAGCAGCAAATTTGTTGTTTGTATTCAATCCATTAGTCATAAATCAAGTATAAAAGTTTTGATATACTGGACATAGGTTTTTTTATTCCTAGGACTGCTGTGTAAGCTATGGTGGCATGTGGTACCTTAAAGGGACAGTACAGTCTTGACAATAGTAGGAAACCACTGACCCAACAAATCCAAGGATGGATGGCAGAGGTGGAAGTAAAGCCTCGACTTGCTTCAGAAGATGCAGAGCAAGAGGAACTGCCCATCTCATGCCTATGGCACTACGTGGTCCAGTGGACAGAGGGTATGGTCAGGTTAAATGAGCGCTCCCAGCAGAGACCCGCCGGATGGACCTTTTTTGCAGTACAGTTTGAAATTCCTGATGTATTTTACTTCATTCTCATAATAAAGAGAGTGTAATACTGACATGGGCAGGATGATGAAAATCATGGTTTATATTCTCCTTTTTAAACTTAATGCCAACAAAGTCAAAGTTATGTTTACAAGATGAAGAAAACCTCAAGGTTTATAATAATTAAAATGCCTAGAGGCCAATATTTAGTCTTAGGTTATCTATCTGCTAAGACTTCTGCCAATTTCATTAAACCAAACTGAATTGTTTTACTCTTGGATTTCTGTGGCCACTGTACCTTTACAATAACCTACTTTATGTAGCAGTCTCAACTGTTTACACAAACCACAGCAAAAATTAGAATCAAATCCATCTACTCTGAAGGTTTGCATTTTTTTATGCAAACCAAACCAGGTAAGTATGAAATGATGTATAAGTGAGGTTATCACACTTTAATGTAAAAGATTTATATTTTGTGTATTTTTAAAATAAATGCTAACACTAAACTGGCATCATGGTGCTGCTGTCTTCAGATGGTTACAGGAAGGCAATATCTGAACTTTCAAAGCATTAAGTGTACTAAAGAGGGGAGGGAACAAACTCCCTTAGAGCAGCCCTGTCCAGCAGAAATCTTAGTCATGTTAGTAGCCACATCAGGGTGTAATAAGTATGTTTTGCATTGTTTTTCTCCCAAGTCTTCAAAATCTGGCCTTTTACATTCAGTGTGGACTAGCTATAATTTACATGCCCAGTGGCTAGTAGTAAATGTAACTAGACAGCATAGACCTGGAGGATGGTGGGAGAAATCAATGAGTTAGGTAAGATGTAAAATTTGTTACATAATTAAAGGTTTTTGCCATAATCTATTTTGCACAACAATATAGCTCCTTCTAAAGATTTAAAATGATCTATGCTGCTCTTCCAAGAAACAAATTAAAACTTTAGCCATAAATCAGGCATTGATCAGGAATGTATTGCCCCAAATAAAYATTTGGTAACATAGTTTAACAAACTGATTGTATATTGTGTTTTTGGTTCTAATTGTTAACATACATGAGACTGAAAGGAGTAAATGAGTATCAGCGTTGATTTGGAGTATGTCTCAGCCATTATATACTTATGTTCCTTTCTACCTTGGAAAGGTGAAGCTCCTCATGCACAACGCACAGTGGGGAAATCTGAGCCTTAAAACACTGGATTCTAAAAAGGTAAGTTAAGGAATACAGGAAGACAATACTGATGGAAAGACAAATTGAGAATGAGTTTGGGATATCAGCAAGATGACAAGAACTCTCCAGGTCTCATGTCTACTATCCCTCCCTATCCCAAATGTCAACTTGAACAACTCTCCACATGCACATAAGTGAAGGAAACTAAGGGAGAGATTACCTTGCTTGGGTGTAGCACAACTGAGATGCACTGAAGAAGGTGGGAAGGAGAGTTCTATATTACCCACATCACATCTTGTCCAAGGACAGGGAAGCAAGCAGCACACTCTGCCTTGAACCATAAACCAGCACTGAGAAGAGGCCCCCATGGGCCCAGACTCTGCCTTGAACCATAAACCAGCACTGAGAAGAGGCCCCCATGGGCCCAGACTCCAGGCCAGTACCCATGGACTGAGCCCCAAGACCTGCCCAGTGGACTTGATACCTGGGCTGTCCTACCACTGGGCCAGTCTCAGGCCTGTCCTAAGAGCCAGGCCAGCATAGTAGACTAGAGCTCTGGACTACTCCCAGTATTATCTGGCCCCCACATAGGTTTCAGGTCCACTCTAGTGCTAGGTTGGCACCATAGGCTCAGGCATCAAGAAGCACATGCTCCAAGTTTATCCAATGACAGGCTGGCCCCTATGGCCCCACCCTCCACATCTGTCCCTATAGCCCCATGCCTGAGTGTGGGAGGCCATCCTTGCACATGATAAAACCCGAGTAGACCCAAAGTCCAGGCCTATCCCAGTTAATTCAGCACTGGGCCAGTTCCCATGAATCCAGGCTTCAAGACCACCCCTGAAGAGCCTGGTTCCAGCCAGCAACCACATACATTCTGTAGGCCAGTCCACAAGCCCCCAAGCTTGAAAAGCAGCCCCTGTGGATCCATGGGGTGCCCTACTCAGCCCTAGCACCTGGTCAGCCCTGGTCAGCCCTGGTGGATGCAATCAACTGGTCCATCCCAGTGGTTCCAGGACTAACCTCACAGACCTAGGTGCCAGGCCCATCCACCTACCGACCAATTCACACTGGGTCAGCCTGCCCCAAAATTCCAACCACAAACTTGCCTAGAATCTCTGAACAGGCTGAACTAGCGAAGGTTTTCCCAGATAGTCAGTCCGAAAAGATGGGAACAAGTTCTTATTTCAAGTGCACAGGCATCAAGAACAATTAGGCAAAACATTGATACCACCAAAGGAACAAAAGTAAGCACCAGAAACTGGAAAGATCTACAAACTTCCTGATAAAGAATTCAGACTCCTTGGCAAACTGCAAGAAAATAGAGAACAATTTTTAAAAWATCAGTGAAACTATAACCAGTATGAGAAATGGTTTAAAAAATCAAATTCCAGAGTTGAGTTGAAAAGTATAATGAATAAAATGAAAAATTTAAGAGTGCCAAAACTATTCTGTCAGTAGAATTGATCAAGCAGAAGAAAATCTGTGAAGGCAAGGTTATTTGAAAATACTTAGTTAAAAAAAAAAAAAAAAGCTTACATGATTTTAGGGGGCAGCATCAAGAGCAATAATCATACGAGTTCTAGAAAGAGAAGAGAGTCACGGGGATACAGGAATAGAAAGATTATTTAAGGATAGCAGAAAACTTTCCAAATCTGGAAAAAGAAACAAATATTCAGGTACAGGAAAATCAAAGTTCTCTGATCAGATTCAATTCAAAAAAGAATACACTAAGACACTTTTTTTTTTTTTTTTTTTTACAAACAGCAGATCCAGGTTCCAGGACTAACCTCACACAGCAAAGAGTCAAAAATCAAAAAGGGTTTTAAAAACAAGAAAAAAGATCACATCTAAGGGCATTCTAATAAGACTAATTCCATGAGGTTTCTCTACAGAAACCTTATGAGGCAGGAGGGAGGACAATAATCAAAGTGCCGAAGGAAATCAAAGCAACTCAATTATGAGAAAAGAAACCAATTTAAAAAAAAAAAAAAAGCAAGAGGAAAAACCCACATAATTACTTCAATGGCGAACAGGTATATGAAAAGATGCTCATCACCACTAATTATCAGGGAAATGCAAATCAATATACCTCCTTACACCTGCTAGAATGGCTATTATCAGAAAAGGGGAATATTTGCACATTATTGATGGGAATGTAAATTAGTAAAACCATGGAGAGTTCTCAAAGAAAAGCAGCAGCCTATGATCCAGGAACACACTACTGGATGTGTACCCAAAAGAAAATGAAGTCAGTACATCAAACTAGATCTGCACTCTCATGTTCACTGCAGCATTATTCACAATGGCCAAGATATGAACTCACCCTGAGGGCCCATCAATAGATGGATTTTCTAAAATACGGTGTACATAGACACACATTGGAATAGTTTTCAGCCTTAAAGGCAATCCTGTCATTTGGGACAACATGGATGAACCTGTACATGATATCAAATAAACAAGGCACTGAAAGACAAATACCTCAGGATCTCAGATGTGGAATTCAAAAAAGGATGAATCTGCAAAAGCAGAGAGGATAGTTGTTTCCAGGAGTGGGGATGGGGTGTTAGGGAGATGTTGGTCAGTGACTACAAGATTTCAGTTAGACAAGAGGAGTACTTTAAGAATTCTGTTGTTTAACATGGTAACTTTAGTTAATAACAATATATTGTACTCTTGAGAATTGCTAAGAAATTTTTAAGTGTTCTCACCACACATGTGCACACACACACACACACAAGGTAGTACATAATTAATTAGCTCAACTTAGCCATTCTATACTAAATATGTATTTCAAAATATATTGTACACAATACACCAATTTTTGTCAATTAAAAATAACCATAAAACTGATTTTAAAAAGTTGAAGACAACACAAATAAACAGAATGAGACTCCATGATCATCCACTAGACGATACTATTAAAATGTCCATACTATCCAAAACAATCTATGGATTGAACACAATCATTCAAAATTCTGATGACACTTTTTTCATTAAAAAATAAAAACCCTAACTAACCAATGCAATAAAGCAGGCGATCATACTGATTTAAAAATATACCATAGAGCAATAAAAAAACAACATGGTACTGACATAAGATATACCACACATCAAGGAGGAAGGATGGTCTCTTTAATAAACTGGTACTAGGAAAACTGGATACCTGTGTTACCTTTCTGTTGTTATAACAAACACCCGAGATAACCAATTTATAAAGAGAAAAGTTTCATCTTGGCTCAAAGTTTTTGTAGGCTTCAGTCCAGATTGATGGGGCTTGTGGCTTTAGGTCTGTGGTGAGGTGCACATCATGGCAGAAGCACCTCGCAAGGCAAAATCAGGTATCTTGTGACTGAGAGAGAAAAGGAGGAAGAGGAAGGGACAAGGGTCCCATTATCCCCTTCAAGACACACCCCCAGTGACCTAAAACCTTCCATTAGGTCCCACCTCTTAAGTTTCCACCACCTTCCTGGAGCRCCACACTGGGACCCACACCTTTTAACACATGGGACTTTGGCAGCCGTTCCAGATCTAAACTACAGCAAAGTTACATGCAAAAGAGTGAAACTGGACCTGAAATGGGTCTTTGGCTAGGACACCAAAACACAGGCAACGAAAGAAAAAAAATAAAAGAACTGTATCAAACTAAAAAGCTCCTTCACAGCAAAGGAAACAAAATGAAGAGGCAGCCTACAGAGGGTAAGGAAATATTTTCAAACCACATGAGGTAAAATGTAAAGCAGAATAAATAGATACATAAATAAAACACCAACTAACCCACAAGGCTGAGTAGATGAGAGGCATCAAACTTCAGCATGTAAAGAAGAACCTCCAAGGCCTGAAGCTGACATACAAAAACCTCAGAAGGTAGAAGAATATAAATGAAAATCCTAAATGATAAATTCCAGGAGCACACTGAGTAACTTTGCCACAGTGTATATGCAAGAGTGACAACATTAGGAACGACTGCTCATGCTAAGAATAGGTCAAATGAGGAAAATCACCATCATCTCAGATCAAGATGTACAATTCAACAGCACATAAAGAGGATCATTCACCATGACCAAGTGGATTTGTACCTGGAATGCAAAAATGTTTCAATATAAACATATGAACAAATGTGGTACACCATATTAACAGAATGTAGGACAAAAACCAATTATCTCAATGGATGCCAAAAAACCACTGGGCAAAATTCAACATCCTTTTACACTAAAAACTTAATTAGCATAGAAGAATGATAACTCCATAATCAAGGTTATATGCGTTTATAAGCCCAAGCAAACACCATACTCAAGTTAAAAGTTGAAAGCTTTAATTCTGAGAAGAGGAAACAAGGAT